ATGGCTGTTGGCATGGCTTAAGCTTAAGGCACAGCAGGGTCAAATCCTCAAGCCTGGCATTCAATCGCGCTCCGTATCTACCCATGCCCAAACCCTTCCCGGACTGCTCTTTATGCCCTTATTGGCTTGGACGTGAAGTCGGACCCGCCTGCCATCATGAGATTGAAAATGTATTATCATATCTAGTATACTTATTATATATATATATACAGACTATCATAAACTACACATCATATAATATATAACATAGTATACCGTGAAATATGTTTTGTCATGACTTGTATCTTGTATATGTATGTCGTATGTCATATGTTATAGATCTATATATATATATTACATAGCACAAGACATATACCATGTAACATGTAACATATAACATATCACATATGACATATAACCATTTGGTTTTCATGTCAAAGGGCCCCCGTCAAAACATCAGCCTCGAAAAACCTGCCAGCCGACGCTTAACCCCCAAAACCCTGCTCCCAAGAATACTGGACCCAAGCAGTAGAGCCATAGTCTAAACTCCTTAAAGGGGGGTTATATAGGGGATTATATAGGGGACTACTATAGGGCTTATTAAGGGGGATACTAGGAGTTTAGACTGTAGCTCACATGCCTCCAAAACCTCAAACCTTCACACCGCCCATGCTACCAGAAGGCATCCGAAGCTGCATCATGCATCTTGCCTTCTTGGCCTGGGCTGTGAGACATGGGGATTTGTCTAGACTAGTGCTTACAAATTACAACGGAGTTACATAGGGATTAGTGGAGGATGCTGAAGTGATGTTAGGTTTTTTTGGTGCATTGCCAAACCCAGGGCGGTAATTGCAGGTCCATATAAAGTAATTCTTCGATGTGGGAACCGCTATTTTGGTCAGTAGCTTGTGCTACAATCACGGCAACGCAATCATCACAGTCACCATGGTAGGTCCTTGCATTGGGGGCCTCCGCTATTGGCATCCCTATGCTCAGTTGGGTGGCCGGTTCTGCAGTTTGGGTGTATCATCACCATTTACATCATCCCACTATGCTCGTGACGCAGATCCGAGCAAGAATGGCAGGCTTACCAAGATGCCTGTCATGATTTTACATGTGCATATACAACTACGCATTTGCAGTACTTTGTTTTGCTAAGCAACGGGCACTGAATTTCGCGCCTCTTTGTAGGATTTGTTTGTGCAATCTGCGCCGTGGACATGAGCAGCATCAACACAGTGATTGAAGTAACGAGAGAATTTTCGCATGTAACCCCACACATCCTTCTGGGTACTTGCCTATTTCCCCACTGAACATTAACTGCTCTGAGTATTTATATGCCTACTTTACTTGAGGGTTCCTGGTACCATTACTATGACTAGTGCAGCGGCTGCTGCTGCTCCTGTTCACATCATTAGGTATTCTGAATTCGCTCAATGTTTTGCCATTGCAGAAAACGTGAGAATTCAAGCTCCAATTTACCATGCTGAATTTCTATGATGCTTCTTAGAAGGACCTGCCGAGAGTTGGAGCTTTCACTTCCCTCAGTCAGTTCCCTTCCTCTTGTATCTTATCGCAGGAAAGAGAAAATTCCCTTCATTTTTTGTATGTTCGCCTACGTCGAGAACGAGAGCTTGGCACTACAAAGTGCCTAATTTGGTGATGTGCTTTTCGCTCCTAGGTTTCTTTCTTGATCAGAACTTGTAAAGAATGAGGCAGGTGCCATTGGCTAGACTGTTAGTTGTATTTGTTTCTTCAGATTATTCGGAAACATTTTGCTGTTTACTGCTAAGGGCATATTTGTTGAAATGAATGATTTCGATGGGGCGCACTTTCCTTTCTCTTGTAAAGCAACAACCTTTTGTTTTTCTTAACGATGTAAAAAGAAACGGGTGTATTTTCATGATGTCTTTCTAGCTGAATATACGTGTCAAAGAATTTGGTTTCATTGAATCATATGCTTGTGTATACCTTCCGTTTTACCAGAGGCCGTGACGTAAAAACAGCAAAGCCCTGCGAACAATAGGATCTCTTTGATTCCAATTCGATTTCCTAGTAGTTCATTAACATGTATTTGTTGCTTTGGCCCGGCCATGGCAAATTAGCTATAGTCTAAATTCCTGAAACGGGTTATATAGGGGAGTATTGTAGGGTTATCGACAGTTATCGAGGAGTTTAATCGATAGCTCAAATTGAGGAGAAGTAGAACAATTTGCTTTCGCTCTATAAGGCCATTCTAAACACGAACATCCAGCAGAAAACTCATGCGGCGAAACATTGCATATATGCCGGGGTACATTTACATACGTAGACAGTCAAAACATGCGGGTGGGGGTGGTGGATAGGCATGCGCCCATGGTTATAAATCCCTCCAAATCCCTATCTATCTGCATAAATACCGATATGAGCTATAGTCTAGACTCTCAGTATCCCCTTCATATTGCCCTAGATAATTCCCTACATGACCCCCCTCTCAGGAGTTCAGACTCTAGCTCATATATCCTCATCAATCGCTTTGCAAGAAGTTCATCCAAGGTTATTGGTACCACGCCGGGCCAGTGGGGCTTGCGGCTGGGATGTCAAAGTAAAGTCGTGGAAGTCGACAAGCACTCCTAGGGCCTTAAGGTTTAGGGCCTCAGGGTTTAGAGCCTTGGGGTTGAGGACCTTACGGTTTAGTGCCTTAGGGTTTAGGGCCTTAGGGTTTAGTGCCTAAGGGTTTAGGGCCTTGGGGTTGAGGACCTTAGGGTTTAGTGCCTTATGGTTTAGGGCGTTAGGCCTTAGGGTTTGGGTTAGGCCTTAGGGTTTGGGGTTTAAGGTTTCGGGTTTAGGGCTTAGGTTCAGGGCTTAGGGGTCTCAGCATGAGGATGCTACTGATATGCATCCATGGTCATGAGATGCAATGAGATATGGAACATTGGATGCGCAATTTCGAAACGCAATCGCTCGCTGGAGTTTTTCTTCGCGCGCAGGATGCTTAATTCATAATCCAAAGAGTAGTAATAAAGAGCGGTAGTGATAGCAATCTTGATCATTCAAGTAACATGATACGTACCAGATCCTGTCAGGATCTCGTTGAAGAGGGCAAGGAGAGGGCTTTGTGATGTTGCTTCAGATTTTTGGGCCTCGCTGCGTATGGGCACCACAAAAGACGACTATTGTCTATAGGTATATTAGGGCTCTGTTAACTCCATGCTAAGGGGCTATTGCTGTAGGGGATTGACCTTAGGAATAGCAGCTTTTTTGGGCTTCTCAGGATTTGCCTCGTCTTCATTGTGCTTCAATTCATTGGGACGGCCGCGAACTCAGTAGGCGGTGACGCGAAATCAGCCATTGTAGACTGCTATATGAGCCATAATCTAAACTCCACAAAGAGGGTAAGGGATTATACGCATAGGGGACCACTGTAGGAGTTATGGAGGGGATACTCGGAGTTTAGACTAGCCCATATGACCTTCAGACTGTTACTTTTGGGCCGTTCCAGTTCCTTGTTCAAAGCTGCTTGTGAGACACGCATCAGCATCTGAGCTGTCTGATGAGACATAGAGCTAGCTAAGGTTCTGTTCAGGATTGGCGAAGGGCAAACATGGAACGACAGTTTCTGGAGCTGTCGCTTGATTGCATGTGAACTCCACTACCTGCTCACAAGGGACCGCGATTGCGTGGGCCTGGCGTTTCAGTAGGGCATTTGTCGAAGTGCCGGCCTGATGCAGGTCAAAGTGGCTAAGAAACCAAGACTGTTCAGAGAGCGGGGATGTTAGCCATAGCAGTCTTGCCAAGCTTGCCGGCGGCACAGCTTGAGAACAGCGGGAGCTGTCCTGGCGTGCCGTTTGGTCTCTTTCAGTTTCAGAGCTCAGGTTACACCATGCTCATCGACATCGGCACGCAAACAGGCCTTCCTCAAGCTTCGACACTTGCCGAGCGTGTGCTGTCGTCTGCTTGGATCTCAGAATTCGTTAGGGACATTAGGGCTGTTTGTCTTCGTCTATCTTGATGGTTTCCCTGCTGTTCAATTGTATGTCACCAGTAAGACTTCGAGCAGATAGGCTAGTTTCACTGCTTGCAGATGAGGTCATCTCCTTGGAAACTTGGATGCAGTTGCCACCTGGAAATATCGTTCTCGCTATTTTGCATGGCCGATGAGGTTGGCTTTGTCTACTGCCTCACGCTGCTGGGCATGGTAGTGGATCTCATCCGTGAGGTTCTGGATGAAGCGTGGCTGACCAATTCTCGGCACTTGTGACTCCGGGTCTTGTTGCTCGTGGTCTTGCGGTTTTGTAGGGCATGGCAAAGTGGCTTAGCCTAGCCGCCAGGCTCCCATGTCGAGAGGTGTGAAAGTGCTAGTAGCTGCAGCGTCGCGACGGTAGCTGAGGACTGCCGCACGAGATTCAGCAGTGTACCTGTCAGAGACCATTGGCTCATTCTGGGTTGGGGTGACAAGACGCTGCTACTCATTGATGAGTTGTTGCGCAGCCGCACATATAGATCATATAGCTTTCTCCCGAACCACTTAGCTTTTGCCACACCTTCGGATTACACACGTGCCTGCTTCTGAGATAGCTAGCAAAGGTTGTTCTTGGATGGTCTGCTTCTTCCAGTTTCTTGTTCTGGTGGATAGTGACGCCTAGGTAAGGCAGAGGACAACAACACTCCCTCGGCTTGATGTTTTGTAGGAGGGCTATCATCGCTGTCTTTGATTTACGCGGAACCACTGGCAAACAGGATAGGGCCATTTGAAGCGGATGACGTGTCGTGCTACCATAAGGGGCCTCGTTGAGAGGCCGAGCTGCCATAAAGCAATTTGTTCGAACGGCTCTCCTCTTTCTGCGTGCGCCTCTGAGGCCGAGCCGCACGTACAGGCTGCTAATTAGATCTAGTTAGGTGTTCACAGGGGCTGATAAAGACCTCTGCATTCCTGAATGGGAACCAGGGCCCAAGCCAGCCTCTTTTTCACTTGCCGGCCGCGCTTCAGATGGGTGTCCGGATGCTGTCCCCGGGTTCTGTTTGAAACAGCTCATTGCAAGGCTCTCGTCAATCACCGACGACAGAAGGCGCTGCTGTGGCTGCTCAAAGAGGAGGCTTGGCGAGCAAGAAATGTCAATTGGCTGTTTTGTCTCAGAAGTGTGCGACGGGATGCAGTCTGAGGCGGCAAATTGTAATTCTTGCGGACATGCCCGTGCAGCGCATGGCCGAAGAGGTGCGCTTAAGGAATAGGGCTTCTCATGATAGGAGACTTCTCCAAACAAGTTGAATCTGTGACATCTTGCCCGTACTGCAGCTTATGGCAATGCTGCAGCAGCAGCAGAAGATGCAGGGTTCTTTCCGCCGTCGGATTGCATGTGAAGGTCTATCTGCACTGCAAGACGGGGTGGTCTCGTCTGAGCCCAGCTAGCTTCTTCTTTCCTCGGATCCGTATCTCGGCGAAACATGCCTTGCAGATTCCTTGCAGAATGAAGCTTGCGGTGGTGGCGTTTGGTTCAGCCAATCAGACGAAGCGTTGCATTTCAGGATACAAGGAAGGCAACCCCACTGATGTCACGGAGCTGTTGAAGGTGAGTGCTCCCTTTGCCAGCGAAATCCTCGTTGCCAGCACGCCGCTTGGTTGAAAGAGGGGCTGCGGCAGTGGTTGGTTTCGATCGCCACGCACATACCACAGTGCCTTCATTGTGCCCCAGTGCAACTCACCCGGGCTGGTTTGACTGAGATGGGAGATGTTTATTACAGCTGGATTGTGCTACTAATCCTTCTGGCTCACTCTGGGCTTCTACTACTCTAACCGTTGGCTCTTGTGTGCCTTGTGCACCCTTGCACGGCCTTGAATTCCTTAAGTGGCACCATTCCGCAGAGTGATGCTGTGCTCGTGTTGAAGCTCTCGACTCGAGGTCCAACAATGCTTCCCGCTCAGACGTCAAGGCCATCTCTACCCTGTGCCCTCGCTGAAGGATGACCTGCCTTTTGTCAAGCTTGTTCCATTTAGCTTAGAACATGCTTATCATAAATAGGGTTTCCCTATACTCTTCCAAAAAATATGCCCCAGCTTACTGTAGAAGTTTTCTTTTTCTTTTGCATGCCTTTTCCTTTGGAATACGGTGCCGCACGAGGCCTTAACAGTCTTAGAAGCCAGTGCCTGCTGCTAAGGTTGGCTGTCGCAGCCATGCCTGCAGATTTGCCGGTCACTTGCGACGTGTCCGTAGATCCTTGCTGGCAGAGCTGTGAGTCTTTTCTTGTGCATCATGTACTGCAACTTTGCAAGTGAACTTGCCTTCCAATTCTGCTACTTGCATCTGCCTCTGCCTCTGCTGGTGCTGGTTGCTGCTGCTGCCAATGTCTCTGGGGGCGAGTGCCGCGACTGCCATTTCCCTACCCTCGTCTTGTCTCAGGAGATGTGCGACCACAACAATGTGAGAGTTGTTCAAACGATATTGAAGCAAGCTCGCGGAATTGCGCCCTGGATCAAAGCCTGGAGCCTTTGAGCGAGCTATTGTTTGCAGCGGGTGCTGTACGTGGGGTGAGTGAAATGGAACTTATCGGTTATGACTAGGGAACTCTGTCCCATTTCTTCATTCTGAGCATAGACCCCAAACCCTAAACAGTAGGTTCGTCCATGCAAGTGTCAAGCAACCATGCCTTCATTCCCTCTAAAGACCAGCAAATCGGCGCGCAGGTCACTCGGCAGCTCGTGAGGAGGATGTTAGCCCCGCCTCTGCACTCCCTCTTGCGTAATCATGCAGAGTCTGGGTTGCTCGTGAGGAATGAAATTCAGTTTGCATGCTGAGAGAACGATATTAGTATTTGCAATATAGCCATAATATGGTAACTCAGGCCAACATCCTTAGCACAGCCCAGGCTCTTGCATGACACAGAATTGAGTACGTGCGGGCATAGGGGTTTTCTTTTGGTAAATTTCTTGGAATCTTGAGACTCCTGCTGTGAAGATGGTTGTGAAGAGCTGGTGCACTTGCGAATGAGCTACCGAACAAAGCAAGAAATCAGCCCTGTTCCATGTGCATCCCCCGCTTGATTTCCGGAAGGGCACATGGATGCATGCTTTCGTGAACACGATGCAAGCTTGCATGCCTAAAATCGGTATGAAACCCGACAACTATAGCTCTGATGCCGCTCATGAGGTTGTCCTGTAGCACCCCCACGCCTTTATCTTGTCAGAGACGCCTGGCAGTTTTGTTGTAGATAATATCGGGGCCCGCGATTTTTGGGTGCCGTTTCAAGGGGCACATGAGTACAAACGTAGCAGTCACCGGATCAGTGACTGACTCTCAAGGTTTTGAGGGCGCTAGTGCCTTCGGTCGGCTACGTGCAGCTTGGATGCAGAACTCACATTCACTTGTGTTTCGCGGTCGTTTTTCTTGGCAGTGATGACAATTCCCATCCGGCATGCTCACCAAAGACTTCCGCAAAACAAGCCTGTGGGTGTGATAGGATTGTAGAACTAAGGGTAGGGTCGAGGCTTGTAAGGTCCCGGAGATGCTCAGGGATCGATGGCAGTGAGAATGCAGCTGCAACGAATATGTTGGTAATAATAGTGCTTGGCAGTATTTGCAGTCGCAGCAACCGTGGAAATCGGTATTTCTCCAAGCCAAAAAGGGGTCCCCGACATGTACCAAAACGCTCCAGCACAGCTTTTGAGAAACCCACAGGTTCTTGGCCCTCACGTCCTTCAAGGGGGATTCCAATCTGCTCTTCGCACCGGTGCCCGCTGCAGTGCTTGGCCTGCCTTTTCAGGCTGCTCAGCTATGGTGGAATCTAATAGGAACGATGATGATGATGATGATGACCATGATGATGATGATGATGATGATGAATGATGATGTCGTCGTTGATGTTGCAGCATCAAGACGCCCACTGATACTGACTCCCTGCTCATGAGGTTGCAGTAGTGAAAGTGTGTAACAGAAATTGTGGGCGCACAGCGGGGATGCATCCACTTTATCAGTCAGTCTGCATATAGCAGGTCGCAGCGCCAGGGGTCATATTTTCGCTTAGGGGTCCCTATGTCGAGGCTCCTCCTGTCTAGGAGGGCCTAGTTGCTAAAGGGCACCCTAAACACCAGTCTCTAACCCCTGACCGAGCTAAACCCTTTGCTACTTTTGAATGCTTACAAACCTAATTCCCCTAATTCCTGGTATGCACCAGGCGGCAGAAAAAGCAGCAAGATTTTTAGAATACCTTAGGTACTGTAGACCCCCGCCCTGTAAGAGGACCCTAATCACTATCTCTGATCGTCACTAGTACTGGGTGGGGGGTCCACCTAGATAAATGTGGTGACCACTGCTGGCCTCCTACCGCAGGATGTGGCGAGGTACTTCCCCTATGCAGTTGTGTGCTGCTCGGCCCAAGTCTGTGGTTTTAGAGCGCAGAGGCGTGGGTGTTATTGTGGGCTCAGAAATGGGTTGAGTGGTACGTTGTAGACTAGCGTGCATGCTCCCTTGTAAGTAGTCTGGGGGGCGGGGTTACCTTTGGGGGATACTATTGTAACCCCTTATTGTAGTAATATATGTATATGAAATAATAGCTTCCATTTTATTTCCCATCATTCCATCATAACCCCAATATATACCCCATTATATATATTTGTTTCCATTTTCTTTTCCATTATCCCAATGTAACCTCTAGTAGGATTCAAATGTGATGGCAATATCCAGCTGTCCGATGTGTTGCTCGGACTGCAATTTGTGAGGGGTGCTTGCAACTGTGTGTCAACAGTACATTTTGCCGGTACCATTTGAACGCAACAAGAACAGCAGCATCTATTGTGACAGTAGCATGTAAATACCAAGAGTATATTACTATATGGCTATAATTTTTCATATCGTTATAACACTATCTTACTCTAATACTATAAACCTATAGTACTATCCTTCTATCTTTCTATTGACGCCAAGGTGGACTTTCGAGTCCCGACTCGCCGAGTGGACGGCTGATCCCAGCGCCGGGCTATTGCTTGAAGGACTGCGCTCGAGTGCTACCGCCTAAGCCCTAAACCTTAAACTCTAAGCCCTATCCCTAAACCCTAGACCCTAAACTGAGTGGTTGATTCCTATGGCTATGGCCATAGCTACTGTTGCTCATGGCTAACGTGGTTTTCCTGTGGGTGTCGCGGCTATCATTTTTTTTTTCGCAGCTGCTATGGGTACGATTGCTTAGGCTGACTCGTGATGTTCATTGTCAACTGCGTTGTGCTTTTTCGCAACGCATTTCCTGCTACGGCTACTGCTGTTGTGTCGTGCTTTCTGCTACAATTTCAATGTCATCCATGAGAACAAGAATCAGGAAGACAAAGCAACATTACATAATCACAAGCACCACAGACAAACGCCTCAGCGACGGGTCTACAACGGCACTTACTGCAGCAGTGCTTAGTTTGAACTGGGTCTGTTTTGCTACCTTATAATTTCGCTTCATCTTGCTAGTATTAACAGAGCAGTTCCCGTTCTCTTGAGCTTTGGCAGTCCACAGACACCTTGGTCATGGTTGCCAAAGACGCAGCCGCTGCCAGGCTCGTAGGAAGTTGCTTGAAGTGAGGAAGCGCTCTCCAAACCTAAGACCTTGGAGCCATTGTGCCATTGCTTTTGGGAAGTGAAAAGTTCCCTGGTCCAAAATTTCCTTTTACAGGGGTGTGCTTTTGAAGTGCAAGAAGCGATTTGAACAGCTGGACCTGCAGTTGTCCTTTCACATGTCATTTCCGTGCAAAAGCATTATGCTGACATGTATGCCACAGACTTATGGAAGCCCCGTCATTCACGTTGGCTAGGGGGCCCTAGGATGTGCCACCCTGTGAGGCACTGCGTTCCGCCGCTTGCACAGGCAGAAAGTGTTGCGCTGGGCTCGTGCCACTTCCCGGCATGTAGATATGTGGCAGTTTCTGCCAGTCATGTGTCCTGTCTGGGTTCAGATTAAATCAAGAGTCATAGTTTAGGGAGGGTATGAGGGTGATCCTGAATCACAAGATGTGCCGGGGCACAGGACGCTTCACTTGCCTACCTGCGCCTGGTGCAACACTACCCTCAACGACTGCAATTGCTATTGCTGGCGCGCTTCCTCCTGCTACCACTACCCCATCATCACCACTACACTTACCACTAGGTAGGGAAAACCCAACTTGTATAGCCAGGTAATATCCTATAGTCTCTTATCAGTACTATTCTAGATAACATTTGTGTGTCGTAAGATGCCGCGTTTGCATCCAGGCCTGTGTAGATTGCCGGGTTGCTGTGAAATGACGGCGCGATTTATTCCTGCCTCCGTGCTACAGATCCTACTTGCGCCTAGTAGCTAAACCCCCCGAACTTCTATGATCCGCCTTGCATGTCACGCTCCATGTGATTCTCCATCATTGGAGTAATACTCGCCCTAACCCCTGAACGAGCTACCGCTGTAACTAGACCTTTGTCTTCCGAAGTGCTGTGGGGTTGGCACCCAGGCTGTGCAGACGTTGTGCCGGCCTTGGAGAAGACTTTGCATTGTCAGGAGTACTGTCATTAAGCTCTTCCCCCAACATGAAGCTCCCCACCCTCCTAACAATAGATATTTCAATTGTAGTATGCTATCGTTGTGTTTTCTTTTTCTTCGTGTGTGTGTGGGATTCTCACACTAGTGCAGGGGATGATAATAACCATCACTGCTGTCTTCTCATTGCCTGTATTGCTCCTCATGGCTGCTGCTATAACTACTCTTCTTGCTGCAGAGCCTTGAGGGCCGTAGAAAACATGTTGAGGGAGTTGAGAGGTACAGTGGTTAAGGGGCCCTAAGTAGCGCAGAAGTTTCTGCACAAACGAGGGAGGACAGTTGCAGTTACATAATACAGACTACTTTGGGCTATGCAGCCCATGATCAGGTCGGAGCCTGTGTGAAGCAGTATTGATCGAGCAGCGAAACTTGCAAAAGTATCTCTACAGCCAAAATGATATGCAAGACAAGGACAAAGGGAGGAGAGTACTGCAAGTAGCAAGAAAAAGAAAAACACTTCAAATGGTGGTTTTCATTAATAGGGGCCCCATTTTATTGTAATCCTTACTACAGGAACACCCCCCAACAGAGGACCCTTAATTCTTGGAAACACTCCCAGGTCCGAGCGGATGGACACGTCTGCCTGTCAGCCTCTGCAGGCGAGTCCAAGGTGGTCCTGCTGCGCCTTGGTTTTCCAAGAAAATGGTTGGCACCAGAGTGCCTGTCCTA